CACACTCACTGTGCCCCAGTTTGGCACAGGAACATCAGCCCTGCACTCCTGAGGACCAGGAGGTGAGGAGGTGCACAGGTGCTGTGCCACACACCTGAGGATGCTGCAGAGAACAACACTGATACCCTGCCAGTGCTTTTGGAGGGTTCAAACTGAGTTTGCATCATCACCCAGGTCAGCCACCCACCCACACACAGTGCTCCAGGCTCTGGCTGATTTCTGTGCAAGATCAGCCTGTGAAGGTCTGTTACACCAGGAGGCCTGGAAATTCTAAGCTGCTGGATACCTCTTGACAGACCATGTCCTGCACTCCTGAGGACCAGGAGTTGAGGAGGTGCTCAGGTGCTGTGCCACACACCTGAGGATGCTGCAGAGATCATTGATACCCTGTCAGTGCTTTTGGGGGCTACAAATTGAGTTTGCAGCATCACCCAGGTCAGCCACCCACACACAGTGCTCCAGGCTCTGGCTGATTTCTGTGCAAGATCAGCCTGTGAAGGTCTGTTACACCAGGAGGTTTAGAGAACTCTCAGCTGCTGAATACAATGAAGAAGGAAACACCTCTTGACAGACCATGGCCCTAAGAGAATTGGAGACACAATGTACCCAACAGGACTCTGGATTTGGAGCTGCTCAGGGGATGCTCAGACAGTAGAAAGGAGCAGTTAAATCTGACCTTGAGCAGCTGCAGAGTATCAGTCAATCCACAGCATTTGGGAAAAAAAGAAATTTCTATTTATTCTTGTCCTTAGGAAAGCGTAAGTGAGGAGGAAACGGATTTTAAGTAAGCTCAAAGAAGTCCATGATAATACTAATTCAAGATTTTGAAGTGCTTTACCAACAGCAAGTGAAACACACAGATCTCTGACAGGAGAAATGAAGCAGGAAAATGCAAAGCAGCTTGTCCAAGCTTATGCAACAGATGAGAAGCAAAAACAACACAGAGATCTCCAGGCTCCATCTCTGTGTCCTACCATTCTTTCATTTTAAAAACCTAAATCCATTTTGCACTCCAGCAAGGTTTTCCACATAGATTTAAGAGTTAATTCTGGGCTGCTTAGACTTTCCTTTTAACTGATGTGGTATCTCAGCCATTATCTCCTCATCTGTACACATAGAATATAAAAGGAATTAGTATTTCAGAGCCAAGAAATCAGGAAAAAAGAAGGAAGTCCTAAATTTTTATCTAAAGCCAAATTTCTTTTCATATGGGCACACTAAATACAGATTTGAAGCAGCACTCCATCCTATGAAGAGAAAAAACATTGCTTGGAAACTATGAAAATTGAAATTGCTAAGATGCTACTAAATATATATATTTATGATGCTTCTATTTCCTGCACTAATATCATGTATAATGCAATATTATCTGTTCAGATGCAGATAAACCTCACTGCAGGCAGAGATGAGGCAATTATCCAAAACACTGACAAACCATCCTTTAGCCCCATGAAGAGCAGTGAGTAACACAGATCACACCAGCACACAGCTCACATGGCACAAGGACTGCTCCTACAAAAGACACATGAAAGGTTCTCAGTGTCCATGCTGGTGCCAGAGTTTTCTCTGTGGAGCCACCTCACCACCCAAGAGACAAGGCACAAAAAGGAAATCTAAGAACTCATCTTAGCAAGCTCCTCTTTTTTTGCAAAGCACACATTAAACTTACAAGGTACTTTCACGTCTGACAGAAATTAAAAGCTCTCTTTTAAATCCAACTGGTGTTTTTATGTTTCTAAGTCATCTAGAAGACAGCACTGTCAAATGGAGAGTTTCTCTTTGAATACCCACTGCCTGAGTGAATGGCTACTCCCCTCACTGACCCCTTCAGGGTTTGTCTCCTTTCATGCCATCCACACCCATGGACCTTCTCAAAAGAAAAGGGACACCTGAAGAGGAAAATGGCTTTTTTACAAACCCTGGCTGTCTGTGATTTTCTTTTCAAACCTTCCTTCTCATTCAGAGTAAAAGAGAATATGCTCTAAGATACCTACTTGCTCAGAGATGAGGCAGGAGTGAGCTCATCCTGAGGTCAGATATTGGGCTTTTACTGATGAAGAGATAAAATATTAATATTTATTGTTGTGCCTGAGACCTGAAGCAGCCCTGGTGCCCTCACTTCACAAGTACAAGTGACAAACACAAATGACAAAGCCACTCTGTGGAAGGTTCATTAGTTAGCAGAATGCTTCCTCAACCAGTAAAGAGCTTCTGATCATCTGGTCCCTTTTAAGACCAGCCTCGCACAACCAACCAAAAATTCAAACAGCGCTATGACAGAAAATACTTCTACCAACCCTAAATAGGTCTGTGTGCATGGTACAAGTGTTTATTTTCTGTGAGACATCAACTGGAATCAATACAATGCCATGACACAGTGTACTCTTGCCAAGAGCCTACAGGGCAGATGGAATTTTGGAGCCCATCTTTTAAAAGCAAAGGTTGTTCTCTATTGTGACTGTAGCAAAAGTTATTTTGGATCATTTTAAAGGACATCACTGAAAAAATGAAGGTTTATGCCTGGCAGTAAAAGCACCTGATGAAAATGCACAGTTAAAATGGAATTATCTCTGTTTGGCAGGTGAGGCCTGTAGGAATACAAGGCTTCCGTTTCCGAAACAAATGTAAGAGATTTAATCTAATTTTATACATTAATCTGCTCTAAACCTTGGGGAAGCTGCTTTGCTTCCTTTTCTGAGGCAGGAAAGAGAACCAAGAACCCCAGATCACAAAGCCTGATTATTTTAAGGAAATGTTTACGTGAATAAGACCAAAACTTATTGCTGTCCTCAGCACGCAACCGAAAGGATGATTCAAGTATCATAAAAAAGGCTTTGATTTGAAAGGACTTTAAAGATCATCTTGTTCCAACCCCCTCCCATGGGCAGGGACACCTTCCACTATCCCAGGTTTCTCCAAGCCCCATCCAGCCTGGCCTGGGACATTTCCAGGGATGGAGCACACACAGCTTCTCTGAGCTACCACAGAGGTTGCAACCGTATCTGATGTTCAACTTCAAAAACATCACAGAAAGAAACCAGCAGCAATTCAGAGATACACACTTTAGGTCAAGGGATACCATCTCTCCTTGAATCCCTCTCTAACCTGCTGGTTCTCTCCCTGAACTCCAGATGCCCAGAGTTTTGACCAAAACCACACATCCTTTTTCTTTACAGACGTAATGTTCTAGATGAGCTACATAACACAGAAAACTCCTCACCTACTCTTGGCTGAATTACCTCCTTGCCTGCCCCCAGTAAGCAATAACCAATTTAAAGAGTCTTTTTTTCAAGGTGTCAGAAAGCCACAAGGGGTTACATAATGCATGACTACCCCACAGAGACTGACAGACCAGGTATCATGACTTAACCATGCTCACATATCTGACAATTTATTAAATCAATCTCTACCCCAAGGACTGCACCACCCTCAGGTGCAAATGGAAGAGGAAATTAAGGAAGTCTTGGGTGATTTCACTGGTATTTTTATATGAATTTTGAGACAGATCTTTTTTAAAATTAAAAGTTCCACCACACCGTGACAAGTCTCTTATTCTGTATCTGGCTCAGCATTTCTCAATGCAATTTAGTACCTCTATCAGAAAACTCACTGTAAATTAGCAAGAAATGAACAGGGAACACTGGACAACTGCAGTTCACCAGAACAAATGCTGGCAACTTCATTATCACTTCCAGCACTGACCACATGTATTGCAGGGAAAAAGCTGACCTGGTTAAAGACTTTTCCATTTCTATCTATGATCTCTCAGGGAATGTGCTAAGGAAACGATTGTCCTACTGAATCATTTCAAGAATTTAACAGCCAAGATGATTTATTACCATAAAATAGGTCTTGGAAACAAAGATATTTGAGGAGACTCAATAGCTATTAAATCATTGTGGAAAACATGATGCTGAAGGAATTGCAGATGCCTGACACATGTTCTACCACTTTTTTTTTCTTTTTTTTTTAAATATTGAGTGTCTATAAAAAGCAACTCTGCAGAATTACTTAAAAACTTTTCTGACTGAAGAAAATAAAAAATAAAGATATAGGTATAAAATCAAATGGCATCCACAAAAGTACAAAACAATTTTAACTAAAACACCCCACAAAGGCTGTCGGAAAAACTGGAGTCACCAATAATTTCAAAACCTATGCATTAAAAATACACTTCTCGCTTAGTAAACAAGCTGAGACGCATTTTGCAGAGTTATAGGTATTTTAGAATTGAGTCAATACATAGAAAACCTCACATCATCTTATAATGAGTCCACTTGTTAGCTGGTGTGAAACCAGATTCAGTAAAAGCACCTTGGGTTTTGTTATTACAACTGCAGGGTAGATGTTGTTACCACACAGAACACGCTCTGTTCAAGACAGTTGGAGGCAGCTCTCTCTAAAATGTGCTATTGAATACTGCAAGTGAATCACAAAGATGGTCTGCAAGGCTTGCTATGCAAAATACCACTGAAGAACACGCTGCTCTTTTGACCAAAATGGAAAAACTCTTGTGCTAAACCTTCCACTAGACCAGGCTGCTCCAAGCCCCATCAAACCATGAACTCTTACAGTACCCAAGTGAACATTTTAAATGTATTCCAAAATACTCAGCCAAAATACAACAGCTTCAAAGTAAGGTCCAAACTCTTCTTACACCAGCTGATATTACAGACAATACTACTATACAACTTTTGGAGGCCAAATACAACTTTTGGAGGCCAAAATCCCTTTCCAGCCCTTCTTGCCTTCAAACCTCTCCTCTCCTCATCCTTGGATCAGCACAGCTACAACAATAATTAAGACACAACCCAGCCTTGACCTCCTTTGTGCCTTCACACAGTGATGGCAAAGATCCACCTTGTGCCCCTCACATTGAGCTCAAAAACAGGGAACCCAGACAGTTCTACAAACTGCACTCACAAACCAGGAAATGAGGAAAACTAATGGCCTTTATAATTAAATGGATGCCTTATAGTAAAGTTGACCAACAGACTTACAAAATAGGAAAATGAGCATTCCTCTTTGACTTAATTTTGCGTCGTCCTGGTTCACTTGTGCAACTCAGCCACCGTTTCTTTCTCTGCAACACAACAAAGAAAACAAATTCTGTTTAAAAAAATAAAAGTATTTGCTTGAACTGACGTTTCTCATTACATTGTTAAGTAATGCTTCAAGCTTACTGCTTGCTTTTAGTCAACACTGGAAAATATTACCATCCTTCTTGACTGTTTCTCTGATTTTGATTGCCAGAGTATTCCTGAAACTGCTCTATCAAGATGAACCTTGGAGACTGCTTGGTGGTTTGAGCATAACACTGACAAACTAGAAATAAATTCCAAAACCTACTGCAGAGTTGACCAAAGAAATTCCTTGTAGCCACAGATAAAGTGAATAAACATTTTTTTTTAAAGGATTTTATTGCTCAAAGATATCTTTGTGGTGTTCTCTCATATCTGTGAGTGTTCTTTGCTGGCCTCCAGCACCTAATTCAGAGAGGTGATGATTTCCTCTTGGTTTGGGGTCATACCTGGTACCCCTGTGTTCCAGGCACCCTAAGACACTTCAGTGGGAGTTGAATATTGGAAGGGTTGTTCCTTATGTCCTGCTTTGTGCTTTGGACTCAAATCTATGGAAAATCTATAGAAATCTACAGAAATAGAAAAACTATATCCATACCTTACTGGGAATTGAAGCAAAAGAAGAGCAAGCAACCAGAAAAACAAACAGAAAAATCTAAGTAGAGCTATGAGAGTATTGTCCTGAAAAAGAATGCTCTGATGCTACATTCTCTATTTAACCACATAATTAGCAAACTTCCAGCAGAAGGAGCAAAAAAGAATTCCTCATTCCCTTACTAGGCCAAGTAGAGACCTGGAAGAACTACTCAAACCTCCATGAAGAAGAACTGGATTGCTCCAGATAATGGAATAACTAAATAACTGGGGACAGAGTGGAAAATGAAGCCCAGAACATCTCATCGCTCAAGGTCAGTGCAGTTCTTGTTCTGCTGAAAATGGTAATTTGCAAGGGAAAAAAAAAAAAAAGTATTTGCCAAAAAAAAAAAAAAGAGATGGAAAGAGGGAAAAAGGAGGACACCAGTCAGAAAGAATCCTGACTCTGGCTACAGTTTGCTGCCAGGAAGGGCTAACAAAGCAACAAGTAAATGCCAGCGTGGATTTGTCAAACTGCTTCCCTTCCTTTTCCAAAAAGTTAGAAAGCCCCAAGATACAGAAATAATTCAGTGATCACCAGGATCACCTGAGCATGGCCTCTTTTATGCCATGTCATTCTCCCAAAACCACAAAGGATCATGGATTTCGAGCATAAAACTTAATTTTTCTCAAGTGACCACCAGGCCTTAGCATGTGGCATCCAACCTTCAGCCTCAGAAGAACCTCAACACATGTAGAATGAAGCTGAGCATCTCATTGATTCATCAGAAAACTATGCACAATAAGTGTTTTCTTAATCCTAAATTCTAAAATCTCAATATGAAATAAATACATGTATCATTAGGGGGTATGAACTCATCAACTCATTTATAAGGGGTACAGTCAAACTTGAAGCTATTTAATTTAGCAGAACAATAGAGCTTTATGAAGTGTGTTTTTCACTAATGACCTGGACACTATTTTTGTTATTTCTGCCTCTAAAATGCACAGCCAATATTTGTGGCTTTAAGAAAAAAAAAAGGGCATTTCTTTCTTAAAACGTTGTTGTGCAGGAAAAAAAAAACAAAAAAAAATAAAATAAACCCGGAGTACAATCAAATATACAAAGGAAAACCACACAAGTACAGATTTCATCATACTCCTCCAGATTTTAAATAGATCAACATATTTTGGAGATGGGTGTGATTTTATGCGAGCTGTGCCCCTTTAAAATTGGCAACTACATTTAATTCAGTGCTGGCTTATTCCAAGTTCCAAACTCCAGTTGAAAATAGATCTCACAATGGAATCCTACAGCTGAATATACTCTGGGAGAAAATTAATACTTTAATTTATTCCAAATTCATTTGCATGACAGTATATCATTAGTATATACAAAAAAATATGTATTATACCAACAGAGGAAAAATTCTGTGCAAACAGTGAAAGAAACTCACATCCCACCAGTGAGATGAGCTTGAAACTTGAAGCAACAAAGCTGTTTTATTTCTCTGAGAAACAAACACATAAAAAAATACCAAAAAGAGCTGTTAATAGTCTAGATTGTCATTTTAAAAAATACTGTATGACCTTAAAAAAAAACCCAAAGCAAATGTGACTCCATGCATGTCAGTTATCTCCTAAATAGCTGAAAAGAGCCACATGGACAATCAAGTGCAGACTAAATATAACTCATGTAACCCAACTCACCTACAAAGCAAGTTTTCCTACCTCACTGATTAACCAGTTGAAGAGGAAAGAAAACACACACTCACTTTGTAACTCCATCAACCTTGTTGTCCTGGAAACAACTCTTCTAACAAGGGAACTACTTAACTGCCAAAACATCTTCTCTGCTACTACTTTTTGGTTTGTTTTTTTTCTTCCCCCTACTTCCCTCTCTGCAGTGCTCTCAATGTTTGCTAAGCAGCCAGCACCAAACCTAACCCATCAAATGGCACAGGGATTGGATCTCCTGCTCTTAAAAGGAAATACATCATTCCATTTGAGTATGCAACACGTAGGGAACACCAGGTTTGCACAAAGGCTGTGGAACGGACTCTGTAATTTTGTTGTTGCTGTTGTTGTTAAAATGTCCTATTAACTGAACTTTTCATTTTAGGAAATGACCTCAAGTTGTGCCAGGGGAGGTTAACATTAGATATCAGAAAGAATTTGTTCATGGGAAGAGTGGTCAGGCACTGGAACAGGCTGCCCAAGGCAGTGGTGGAGGCACTATCCTATAAGTGTTAAAAAAAAAAAAAAGATACAGCAATTTAGCAATTAAGGACATCATGTGGTGGTGAACATGGTGGTGCTGGTAAGCTGGTGGTTGGATTTAAGAGACCTTAAAGGTCTTTTCAAACCCAAAGAACTCCGTAATTCCATATAAACCAGCAAACCTACAGGGTGAACTCAGCCTTCCTTATTCACATGCCCAAGTACCTGGGGTGAAAGTCCATCCTCTCCCACCCTGTGGGAGTGCAACAAGGTCATAAACCACAAAAAAATTATCTTCTTTAGGTTTTATGGTTACTGTCTGTGTTTAGAAGGGAACAGTACTTTCAAACCCAGGTCATGGCAATTTCTGCCACATTGCTGGCCACAAATTCAAAAATGCTTCCTTGTCCCAGTACTGGAAGCATTTGTGCCCTTCCTTTCTTGGTTTAGAATCCTTTTTTGAAACAGGTCTGTGCTTTTATTAGATGAAAAAACTTAATTTTAACCTCTGTATGAAATAAAAGCTGGGTTTAGAAACCAGATTTATCCAGGAAACAGCAGGTTTGTTTCAGACCACAACTTTACTCTTTGCATCTCTCCATACATTGCTCTTTTTGCTATGCAGCCTGTTTGGGTCAGATGCATCAATTTGGCCTTACCTAATTTGTCCAATCCACTGCAACAAATCTACTTACTTAAACACTTGTAAATTCCTTATTCCTAAACGACCAGTGTTTTAAAAAATTTGGCATCCAAGCCTCTCAGTCAACCTGCCCACACACAGTGCCCACACCTGTTTCTCCAGTAAAATGTCAGAGTCTGCACTGGTCTCAGATGGGAAAAATCACAATTCACTGTTTTCAAAAGAAACCTGTTAATTACCAAAATTATTCCCACAGCAAGTCCAAAGGGATTTTGGTTCCTTCAGAAGATCCATGATTAAACATAGTTACACTCAGCAGTTTTATTCAGTGTGGTATCTCTGATTTATTATCTTTACTCTGCTAAGGAGACCTGAGTTTTCCCTCGACTTGTTCCAATTTCCAATGTATTCACAAGGGTTTTTTCATGTTCCTTAGCAATGCTGGTTATCCATCTTTCTGTACCTTAGAATTTCATATAAACCTTATCTAATTGTTACCCAGAGGAGCTGTGGCTGCCCCAGCCCCAGAAGTGTCCATGGCCAGGTTGGATGGGGCTTGGAGCAACCTGGGATAGTGGAAGGTGTTCCTGCCCCTGGAAGGGGGTGGATCAAGATGGTCTTTAAGGTCTTTTCCAACCAAACCATTCTGTGCTTCTAATATGCTTTTACACTGATTTTAAATTGTATCCCTGTATCTGCTTTTCCAATGACTTATCTTTAATATATCAATGTGACTCACAGCTTTGTTTTCCCTTTTCTCCTGTGATTTTATTCTAGACATTGTAAACCTTCAAACCTCTGTATTTTTTTAAGCATCTTCTGGAGAGATCACAGAATCATAAATGGATTGGGTTGGAAGGGACCTCCAAGATCCTCTATTTCTTACCCCTGCCATGGGGAGGACACTTTGCATTAGACCAGGACCTTCCCCTAGACCAGGTCACATGTTCAGCTGGCAAAATTAGCTGAAATCCCAATTAACCAGGATCTGGAGTCACTACCAATTAACAACTACCACTAAGAGATCCAAAATCTCAGCCTCACAGTCTTGAGCTGCCTCTGCAAAATGCCACAAGTTAGGGATTAAAATTTCTCATCTCCTCCACTACAGCCCCAGCTGCCTCAGCAGCATTTTACTGCACAGGCTCAATAAACATTCCATGTGTCACCAAGCAGGCAGTGAACATCCACAGAAGCCTCTCTTAACACGTCAAAGATCCAGTGATTTTCAGCATCCCATCCCTCGTACTCAACAGCAGAGACAGAGAGAGGAGGAAGGTATTTGGAAACTTGGTGCATACGAGCAAATTTAAGATTATGAAAATTGTGATGCCTTACAGTAGCAGCGCTGTTACACGCGTTACAAACACTGAATTTTGTCAAACTATTTCCAGTAAATGCATTTTTTCCCCCCCACCTCAGCACTAGAAATTCCCAGTGCATGGTATAAATCGTGATGTTCTGCACTTTCTAGCTCAAATGAGGACCAGGTTTTACCAGCCAGCTTTTAGCAGTGTTTAGACCTGGTCTCAGGCTGGAAAAACATATCTTATACTGATTTTTTCC